CTCATGATTTTATATACCTCTATCATATCCCCACTTAGTCTCCTCTTTTCCAAGCTGAAAAGTCCTAGCCTCTTTAATCTCTCCTCATATGGGACCCGTTCCAAACCCCTAATCATTTTAGTTGCCCTTCTCTGAACCTTTTCTAGTGCCAGTATATCTTTTTTGAGATGAGGAGACCACATCTGTACGCAGTATTCAAGAACTTCAGAAAGATCTCACAAAACTAAGTGATTGGGCAAAAATATATTCACCGTTTTATTCTCTATCCCCTTTTTAATGATTCCTAACATCCTGTTTGCTTTTTTGACCGCCTCTGCACACTGCGTGGACGTCTTCAGAGAACTATCCATGATGACTCCAAAATCTTTTTCCTGATTTGTTGTAGCTAAATTAGCCCCCCATCGTATTGTTGGGGTTATTTTTTCCAATGTGCATTACTTTACATTTATCCACATTAAATTTCATTTGCCATTTTGTTGCCCAATCACTTAGTTTTGTGAGATCTTTTTGAAGTTCTTCACAGTCTTCTTTGGTCCTAACTATCTTGAGCGGTTTGGTAGCATCTGCAAACTTTGTCACCTCACTGTTCACCCCTTTCTCCAGATCATTTATGAATAAGTTGAATAGGATTGGTCATAGGACAGACTGTTGGGGAACACCATTAGTTACCCCTCTCCATTCTGAAAATGTACCATTTATTCCTACCCTTTGTTCCCTGTCTTTTAACCAGTTCTCAATTCATATTCTTAGTTCATTGATTCAGAATGCAACAGTCCTCAAGTTATGAATGGACTCATTTTCAAAAAGGAGGGGTCTTATCAGGATGTCATTGAATAAAAAATTACTGGAAATAATTCTCCAGATAGAGCCTATAAAATGCTTTACAAATTATGAAGATCTCCTGCCTCGTCCTAATGACACAATATCGGTGAATTTTCCTCAAGGGAAGAGGACACATGTGCCAATGAAGCATCATGGACACAGTCTTGCAAGGTGCTGAGTGCCCTCTACAATCACTGACGTTAATGGGACTTAAGGGGACCTTTCAGCAATTTTTTTAGACCAGACCCTTAGTTTATGACCAAAGCGGTGCAGAGGGCCTTCTGCGGAACCTCTGTACCTGACAGAGTGAAATTTCCCTCCATAGATTTTATGTTTTTTTTTAACTAGTAACTGAAAGTATCTACTGCAGCTCATAACCTTGTCTCTTTTGTATATTAATAACTTGGGAAAGTCAGACATATGTTAAATAGTGCAAAATGCTGACCATATATCAACACATTGTGCATTAGCTCTTCAACATGCTGGTTTTTTTAAAAAAGAAACAAAAGACTATTGGATATATTTAACATGAAACGTGGAGATGTGTTTCTAATCATTCTAATGAAACTACCTGTTTCATTATGTTAAATGAAAAAGGATGGCTTGTGTATCTTTATTTTAACTCACGATTTAATTTAAACATATAGCTTACTTAAAAACAACGGAGCTGATTGCATTTCCAATTTAAAGCCTAGCTGTCATCAATAGGTGCATCCTATATTTGGATGGCTGCTTGCACTGCCGCAGATATACTGGAAATAGAAATGCACTGAATGAATGTATGAAATCCAGTCTTCGCGTGTTTGCCTAGCACTCAGTACATGCAATTATAGTAGCTGTAAAGGGAAAGAAAAAAATGAAACGATTTGCTTACTTTAGTACTGTAGCAAATGACTGTGTTGACAAGGTCACCGTCCTAAATTGACATAGTCAGCACCACATCCAACTGCTAAAAATCCACCAATATTTGCATGGTGATGTCTGTAAGAACCTCCCCTCTGAAGCGTCAGACTCGTAATTTTTTCCTCTGGTTTGTTTAATAAGCAATTTATTTTAAAATTAAGAATCCAGTGATAAAATTTCAATTTATCCAGGAAAAAAACAGAGTGCTATTTCTTGCTTGGGGTCGACATGGCCAGCTTTACAAAATGTAGTCTATTTCTGTGTTATACACATGACTCTTGTTAAGCCAGATAACAATTCCTTTTGTTATCAGATGCTAATGAGAGTTGTTGTTTACAGTGTTAAGTGATCAATTGCTTTTACTCTGGATCACACTGGTTCAGAGCTATAATAATCAGTAAAATATAGAGATGTTGTAGTAAAAACAAATGTATAAAATCTTCAAAAAATGTATGCACTGTACTATCAGATTATTAAAGCTCCAGATATTATTTAACATCTAATGGGCTGAATATAAATGATATTGTAAAGAAAACTTTGTTGATCAAAGAAGGGTTTAACCATTTTAATGTTTATGGATTTGTTTTGAAAATATTTTTAACTGGGTAATGTCAAACTTTCCAATTTTAATTCTGTATGCATTAGCATTTCAATAGATTATACTTCCAACTCTTTTTGACCTAAAATAATTAATTTTTAAATCTTGGATCTAATTATCTTTTTTCTTGTTGCCACTATTTTTCAATAATTTGATTAGCTTTTAGAAGAAAAGCAACAGCAACCACAGGGGATTTTGTAGTAACGATAGACTATATATTTCTTCTCCAAAAGCAGCTCTGATGCTTTTGAAAATAATTTGAAGTTTTTTTATCAGTGCAGAATTAAGGAGTAATGTTGTCTAATTTGCTATGTTTAGTGGAACACAGTACTCTAGATGTTTGTCAGAGAATGCTTTGAATCGTATGGTAGGTGACTATAACCAAGACTACAAAAGTAATTTTTAGAATTTTTTGCACTGCTTTTATTAGCTTGGTAAAAAGAAAAAATCCCAAATATGGATCAGCCAATAGTTTAACAATTGGTTAGTGAGATGTATATTTTTCACATTGCTAGCAGCACTGAAGTCAATGATCTCTAGTTTGTATTTTTATTGCAAATATCTGATCTGGACATTTCAACCAAACCTGAACACATCATGTAGGTTTCAGTGTAAAACTATAAATTCAGAGTGATGACCTCTACGCCTAGCAAAGTGATCACTTACTTTCAATAAAAACAAAAACAGATTACAGTTGATCATTTAGACATAACTGCTTGTAACAGTCACCAAGCCACTACAGTCAGGTATATAGACAGCCCTTAGGAGACACGCTGCCTATCTGATGACATTTAAAGCTTTAAAAAAATCCCTTCTAGATACTGCAGAAAATCATCATGATTCAGCACAGGATGTTGATGTCACCAAATGAAAACAAAAGTGTTTAAATCATGTGCACTGGCAATACTGCCATTAAACCATTTATGGGTCCAATTTTGCAAACCCCAGCAGTCCCATGGGCTGGAGTGGGAGTACTAGTGTGAGTAATAACTACTTACATAGATGAGGTTTGCATGACTGTATCCATAACTGAAGCAATGATCCCTTTATGTGTTGATTTTAGCAGTATAAGAAATGATACACAATTTAAATTTCACATTTCTGTTTTATGTCCTACTTTCAGTCTATACTGGTGTGATCAGAGAGCTAAGGCATAAAGCGCCTTTAACTTTTAGAGTTGATATACTATGTAAATATAAGCAGATAATGCTGTTTTAGTAGATGAAATAAATTGTATGCCATTTTTATTAAACCAACAGTAAAATAACTAGACTGTATTATTACAATAGAAGTATAGAAGACCAACAATTGTACAATTGAAACTCTTTAGCAAAATTTGTTTCTATTATGTATATCCTTGTAAATTTAAATAAATTTAGCATTATGAAGTGTTCACAATGATTGCTTCTTGTTAATTTAAGGAATTTTCACCCCTTGTTAAGGCTAAATGTAATTAAAATTTAGAAGTACTGGTAAAAGTAAAAGTTTATCACACACTGTTTTTTATGAGATTTTAACTAAAAGATGTACGTTACACCTGTATGTGACTTATAATGGTTTCTCAGCAAGGAATGCAGAACCACTTACATTACATAAACATTTAAAGAGGAGAATGCTAATACATTGAAAGAGTTAAACATCAGTAGCAATCTATCAAATGAAGACATTTCATGAAGTCCACTCTCTGGGAGAACATTCACCATGTGACAAAAGCCTTGCATCCTCGTTAGTCTGATGTTCATTTAATTTTAAAATCAGAATCATTAAATGAGATAAATAGGATCTTAAGAAAACTGACATCTTCCTTCTCAGGTAAAAGGTCAGAATTGAAATAATAATAAAAAATCCAAACAGATTGCTTTACAGGCAAATTTACATACTGTCTCTTTAAAACACTGCATTCCCAAAAGCCTTTTGGGTTCGGAATGTACCACTGCATCAAGTATCTCACAAAGCCCCTAAATATCACGAGAAGACTTAAAAAAAAAAAAAAAAAAAAAAAAAAGAAAGGAAGAAAGAAAAATTCCAGTTGAATGAAACTGTTTTAGCAGAATGCTTCAACTCAGCTCCTAGAACTGGAATTTCAGATAAACAACAGAGGACGGGGAACAGAATTTTTATTTTTAACGTGTCCTTTTGTAATGCAGCTACAAGGTTTCTGATGAACTTAAGAACAAAGGGATTGAGAGTGCAATTGTCATCAATATCAGCAGTGTGCTTAAACTGAAGCTTGTAGGAAGAGCAGATGAATTCTCTGACGATATGTGACTGGTGGAGACTCTGATTGTGTTGTCCTTCCCAATAGCATTCTGCAAGAGACAACACTTTCCTTGGTCACTGTTAAGCATTTTCATTATACTTTAATATATTTAGATGTAAAATTCATCCTGTCAGTTTCTCCCCCTCCAATTTCATGTATTTCACCATTATGAATTTAAGTATATGAGAAGGATAAAACAGGATGTCAAAATGACAGTGGTATTAAAATACAATTTGATAGTAACTATCAAAACACTTGTAAGGGACACCATCAAAGTAATCAGGTGGGGGAAAAAAGAATAAATAAAAAATGACATACTTTGAGAGCGAACCTAATTGGAAGATCTAACCTTCTAAAATCAAGCAATATTTTAAAGAGATCCGTGTTCAACATGGAAATTCATTTTTAAAAAGCAGATGCAGGACTTGCTATGAAGTCTGTCTTGTGTAGCCAACAGCAAGGATTGTTTGAAAACAAAGTATTGTTGGATTCCTATAGGTAAGACTGGAACCATCATCAGAGTGGGCTTATGGGTTGGCCTAGCAACAGGAGCAATATCCATTTAGTTTCTTTTCCCAGTTGCTGGATTGTTATATGCCCTGTGTTTTCGTGCACTAATGCTACATACAATAAAGCAATATGTTATGCAGCTGTACATTACACACAGTAAAATAACAGGATAATATTAGGGGCAGAATGGCAGGTCATGTGCAGGTACACACGGGACAGTACACAAGGAATAGTCTTTAACCCCTGGGCCAGCAGAAAGGTTACAGCTTAGTTTAGTTTCCATGAGAGTCAATCTTCCACCTCTAGGGATGGTCCTTATCGGTCAGGTTTGAAGCAGGCTGGTGGAACAGCATAGGGAAAGGTTCCAAGTCTCCAGGGGCTGTCAATCCAGCTCCTAATGTATTATATAACTGTCATTTCATTTATCCTAAATCAGTATTCTGTCAGCCATAAAATGAAATCTGCTGTATTTCTGGGACTTGGTAAATGCCATATGATTACATGTTCCTGCAGATTACTAGCTAATTACACTTCCTAGGTGAAACACTAATTACTATTTGACCTGCAAAATCAGTTCTTGGGAAGCCGAGTGGAAAGAGGTCTCGGAGGGAATCCCAACAACTATGTGGGAATTAAAATGTAATTATCTCACCAATGCATGGTACCAGGGTAGCAAACACTTTGGGCCCAATCCCGAGCTCCTGACTCAGGCAAAACTCCCTTTATTATGATAACTTGGTACCCAGCCATGACGATATTGATGGGAATTTTGTCTGAGGAAAGAGTCCAGGATTGGGTCCTGGATTATTACATTTCAGATTGATATTTGTATTATGAAAAATAAAGTGCTACTGTAATAGGATCCACATTCTTACCTCATTAAGACAGAGTTCTGTGTCTACAGATTCATTGGATTTCCGCTTCTGTGCCTAGAGACAAATGCAAAAGTTACGCAGTATAGATGTATATTTATACACATAATATGGATATTTCTGTTTGAATAAGCTCTTCTTGATTGTTCGGTTTCATATTAACATGCCTCTATAATAAATGAGTAGGAATGAAGAGCAAATAGTAAAATAACGGTCTTGAAGTAACAATATAATCTCAGGGCTTGTCTTCATAGAGCCTTAGTGGATGGCAAGCTGGGGTGTGACTCTACAGAACGGTAGCTAGCCATTATATTTCAAATGGTAGTTCATCAAAACACACAAAGGAACTTTTAATGGGCAGTAGCTCGGTCCACATTGCCAGTTAGTGCATGGCAAACTAGTGCACTGCAGATTTACAGCGCATTAAGTCCCCGTGTAGACAAGCCCTTTCAGTTTTAATCCCCACTGTGAATTTAAAATACACATTTTGAAAAAGCCAGTAAGAATAAGGGCATAAGGCACTCAGCTATTACTGTGATGAGTGCCATAGAAATGCCTACATATAAATCAAGTCAGTAATCAGGGGTCTATGTAAAAGACACATATGGTCCTGGTAGAAAAAAATGGAATACGATTATGCTTTCAGTAAATATTAATTAACACTAGTGCAGCTTAACTAGAAAATATGGACTTTGACCAGTGTATTCTTAACAGTTAGGAAAATATACACCATATTTCAAAGCGTTTTACTTCTGCTAGGTTTCAGGGTAGCAGCCGTGTTAGTCTGTATCCTCAAAAAGAACAGGAGTACTTGTGGCACCTTAGAGACTAACAAATTTATTAGAGCATAAGCTTTCGTGGGCTACAACCCACTTCTTCGGATGCATACTTCTGCTAATAGTTAGAATTTTATCAGGATGTTAAGATGACCAATTAAAATATTTTAAAATAAAAATATATTAATTTCTGTGTCGTGCTACAGCCACAAAATCTGTTCTGGAAAGTTACCAGATTATGCAAACAGAACAACATTTACTTCCTTTAACGAATGTACCTATAAATCAAACTGAAGTCAGAGGATCAGGGAGACTAGATACCAGGTGCCCCACCTCACAGGCTCCAACCACCAAATTATATAGTCATTCTCCCTCTTTCTCTCTCTCTCTCGTTTCCCTGCCTCAATTTCCCCCCCATTATTTATCTACAGTGGAAATGCTCCAAAAAGAGAACCTGAGGGGGCACCTCATCAGAATATCCCATGACCCAGTGGTTAGGACACTCACTTGTGAGGTTGCAGATCCCTGTTCAAATCCCTTTTTTCCCCCTCAGGCAGAGGGGGGACTGGAATCAGAAGTCTCCAACATCTCAGGTGTGTATCCTAACCATCAGGCTAAAAGTTATGAGGGATGTCATCCTGCGTCTCATTTTCTGTTAGCTTGTCTGTAGGGGCCCAATTCAGTAGGTGCGTTCTGAGCATGGTTACTGGGTCGGGTCCCACAGGGGAGTTAGGGAGATGATCCCCAGTCCATGCATTGTTCTGGGGCTTAGGTGTGGGGCTCCAGTGCATATGTGCAGAGGCAGAAACACAGGCACCTACTGAACTTTTACCTCAAAAATTTCAGTGCTAAGCAAGTTTTGGCATGTGGAGGGTTCAGCAGCAGCAGCTGAGGTTTTTGTGAATCCCAGTGGGGCCTGATTCTGGGATTCAGGCACCAAAAGTGGCAGGTAGGCACCTAATTCCTTTTGTGAGTCTAGCCTCTAGCTGAAAAAAATAAAACTGGCAGTGAATTTTGAGTGCTAATTGGCCAGATTAGAAATGACTTTCTCTGGTGACAACAATGCTGATTTCAGTCCTCACTGGCTTGCCGCAACAGGAAACATGAAAAGCAAGGAGAAACCAAAGTGGAGCCTAATCCTGCATTTCTTTTTCACCACATCCTTCCACTGAGTCAAATGGGAAAGTGGAGATCCAAAGAACATAGGATGGGATCTTTGGATTTTACAGTACAAATTATAGAAGGCCTTCGTTGATATTTTCTACCTCCTTGCTATGTGCTAGACACCCAAGTCCTTATACAAGCTTCTGTCTACTGTCCATGTGTATTTCCTAGTAGCTATGCCTGGCCTGGGTTACAGAATACTGTACCATTTAGGACACTACTATTTCTAATTAGCTTCTGCTCTATACCAAGGATTAAATTTTATCTTTTCTTAAGACTTAATATAGCTCTCAAAAATGAAAAGAGAGAACAAGGTCATGTTCCTCTTCCACTACATTGATCTCGAAAAGAAACATAACCAGTGCAGCACAGAAAGTATATTTGCATTTTAGAAAAAAACTGTTTTTAGGGTGAAATCAACAATTATCAGGTAGAATCCCAAATCAACAACAAATGCTTTTCAATAATTTTGATCATCATTCACTAGCTTTAAATTGGGAAGAGTTACCTATATATTTAATGAGGAGCATTTTAACAATCAATACATTTATTCACCTGCTTCAAGTAGAACAGAAGTTCCTTCTTCTTTTGGATTTTAAAAAAGTAATTTTAATAATAAAGTGGCCTTTTCTCCCATCAGAGTGTAAGGGATAATGTCTGTAATTCAGAAATAAAACAACACTACACCTTCTTTATTTTTTGTAGTGAGGGAGGGTGGGTTTGCAAGAAAAAATTAGCTTCCAGGCTTTATCTGCCAAGTTTCAAATTGGAAGAGTAGATTTTTACTGCTGAGTTATAAACCTGAAAAAATGGTTATAATGGAAATGCTGGCATAGGCTGCACTACTAAAATAAAATAGTGTATCACTAAATCACAAGTAATTTTGGGGGTGGAGGGGGCAGGGAAAGAACCTGTAGGCAGAAGAGTACACTATGGGAAGCTTATATCAATAATTACATCCTAACAGGAAAATCCTTCCTGCCCCACTCCTAGACACAAAGAGAAGAGAACACAGCAAAACAGATGGTGCAATGCTTCACAGGAAAGGAGTGCTTTACTTGGGGGGCCAAGTCAGGACTCAGACCTACTGATGGTCTTGACGCACATGCACTCACACACAAAAATGAGAAATGATGTGGAGCCCCATTATCTGTTCATCTATAAAATATCCCAAAATCTTATACACCTCTACCTTGATATAACGCGACCTGATATAACACGAATTCGGATATAATGCAGTAAAGCAGTGCTCCGGGGGGGGCGGAGCTGTGGATTCCAGTGGATCAAAGCAAGTTCAATATAACGCAGTTTCACCTATAACACGGTGAGATTTTTTGGCTCCCGAGGACAGCGTTATATCGAGGTAGAGATGTACAAGATAAAGAGGTTTGCATCCCTTGCATGCTGCAGAGTGCAGTTCTGGCAGGGGAAATTCTGCACCTCAAGATGCAGGAGGCTTTGGGGGAACACAGCTCTGTCTTACACAGGCTACTGTAAATGTCATCCCCAGCCTCAAAGATCTCCTCAGGACAGTGTAATTCGAGGCCTGGTACACAGGAACAGGGTTTGTCCCTAAGGTATTAAGATTTTTCAGTCAGAGTAAAGATAAAATAAAACACACAACTGACTAATAAGACTACAGTAGAACTTCAGGTTTCAGAGTAGCAGCCGTGTTAGTCTGTATCCGCAAAAAGAAGAACAGGAGTACTTGTGGCACCTTAGAGACTAACAAATGTATTAGAGCATAAGCTTTCGTGGACTACAGCCCACTTCCGAAGAAGTCCACGAAAGCTTATGCTCTAATACATTTGTTAGTCTCTAAGGTGCCACAAGTACTCCTGTTCTTTTTTTTAGTAGAACTTCAGAGCTACTAACACCAGAGTTCTGAACTGATCAGTCATCCACACACCCTATTTGGATCAGAAGTACGCAATCAGGCAGCAGAGACAAAAAAAAAAAACACAAAACACAAAACAAAACAGTACAGTGCTGTGTTAAATGTAAACTATTAAAAAATAAATAAAAGGAATGTTTAAAAAAGGATTTGACAAGGTAGGAAACTGTTTCTGTGCTTGTTTTATTTAAATTAAGATGGTTTAAAAGCAGCATTTTTCTTCTGCATAGTAAAGTTTCAAAGCTGTATTAAGTCAATGTTCAGTTGTCAACTTTTGAAAGAACATTTTATGAGTTATGAACATTTCAGAGTTACGAACAACCTCCATTCCCGAGGGATTTATAACTCTGAGGTTCTCCTGCATATTTCAAAATTAGACTTATTTTCAGGCTTCACATAGGGCCTGAGCCTGCCATAAGAACATTCAAGAGAATTTTTTTTTTACTGACTGAAATAAGAGCAGAATTGGGCTTGTAAAAAAATCGATGGAAAAGAAGTTTTAAAATAATTCTAAAGAAAAGAGGTCTGGGATCTGTGTTACTGGCTAAAATCAAATCTGCTAACGATTCATACACTCAGCTGTAATCTACTGCTGAATGTAGAATGATAGTTACAGGTAATAGATTGACTGACCTAAAAAACCTCCAAATTATTATACACCTTTTCCTTTTGTTACTATAAAAACAAGCAGTAACTTTGTTTAACTACAGTTCTGAAAGCCCATCCAGTAAGGAATGATTAAGAAGGTTTGAGATGGGTTGACCGATAACTGTGGCTTTGCAGGAAACTCCTGTTTGGTTGGACTCAGAAATCTAGCCAGTCTTAAGAAGCTGCCTCAGTTTTGTCTTTTGTCATCAGTCTTGTGCTGAGTTACCCTTTTATGTTTTGTAAAACGTGCCCCTTCATTTTGTAAATAACCTAGTTACTATGGTAGAAAAGCAAAGATTCATATTTAAGAATTTGAACGGTCATGAACTCTGATGAAATTTTCATTACACTGCACATCTATCAGGAGTCTTAGTTTAGCTTGGGCAGTCTCAGGGTTTTAAACAACTCCCTCCGCCCCCCATAAGGGACCGTGCCCAAGCCAATGTCCTGAGACCAATGTCCTGGCTGGTACAGAAAGCTTCCCATCCCAGGCCCAGCAGAGAGCTGACAGATGCTCTTCCTGGAGAGGAAGGAGAACCAGAGCAAGCAGAGCAAATAACTGTTTCCCTGGAAGG